GAAACGATGCTTATGAGCAAAAGGCAAGAGAGTAGGTAGCAAGGGAAGCTGATGAAAAAACAAAAGCGGGTGGGGGGTCCCCTGCAATGCGTACCAAGAAAGAACATGAAAGAAGTACATAGGCACAAGTCGCGATGGAGATCAATGAAGATGAAATGAACGCAAATAACCGATAATAAGTGTTGACTGCACACATGGTCCTTCCTTCCTTCCTTCTTTCCTTCCTTCCTTCCTTCCTTCCTTCCCTTCGTTCCCCCCTTGCATCCTTCCCTCCTTCCCTCCTTCCCTCCTTCCCTCCTTCCTCCTTCCCTCCTTTCCCGTCCTTTCCCCTTCCCTGCCTTCCACTTACACCTCCGGGCCTCATGTCCTCCGTCCGCCTTATTTCCCTTTCCTTCCTGCCGTCCGTTGCCAGTCCTTTCCTCCTTTCCTCCTTCCCTCCTTATTTCCTTTCTTCCTTCCTTCCTTCCTTCCTGCCTGCCTGCCTGCCTTCCTTCCGTCCTTCCCTCCTTTTCTCCTTTCCTCCTTCCCTCCTTCCCTCCTTTCCTCCTTCCCTCCTTTCCTCCTTCCCTCCTTCCTTCCTTCCTTCCCTCCTTCCCTCCTTCCTTCCTTCCCTCCTTTCCTCCTTCCCTCCTTTCCTCCTTCCCCCCTTTCTTCATGGTCATTTATTTTTTTTGATGCATTTATAGTTTTTGTTTGATGCATCTTTATTTTTTTTGATGCTTCTCCCGATCGTTCCCAAAGAGGACCAAAACCCCTTTTCACCACGCCATTTGGTGGAAGATACCACTGTGACCGTGAATGTCATGGTCTTAGACATGCCAAGGAAGTTTGTCTGACGCCACGATGTCACAGATGTGGCCCACAGTCAGACGTTCCCCAACATAGGCTGTATGCGATCTCACATGGATATGCACTTCATGTTGATTAATTATGAGCATTGTCGTGATGCGGGATCCAATGGTCCACTCCGGGCCTTCAATCCATGTGCGATTTGCTGCACTGCAGATGATAGACTTGTTATGACTTGTTTAGAGGGCTTGAGCTGAATATGTGGTCAGTGGAACTGATCACATAGGGGGAGTGCGTGTAAGAATTCCATGCATCCCTATTTACCCAATTCTCAAATGGAAATACTTCCACTTTTGCTTTGACTTCAACCCACCGGGTGTTGTCCAGACTTCAACTCACCGGGTGTTGTCTAGGAATCCTGAAGAACCTGCGTCTGGGCCGGACCGAAGCCTTTTAGATGTCAAGCGGCACAAAGGTGCGTCAGCTAGCAGCGAGGTGGCTGCTTGGAGTTTTGGGGAAACTTGGTTTTGTTTTTTGGGTTGAAACATTTCTTTTCCGGTTGGAGTCGGGATCTCAGTTGCTGTTCAGGGTTCCAGGACGGTTCACTTGTTGGCATTGGGAGGCTTCAGGAAACACAGAAACCATGGAAACCGTGCAAACTATGAAAACCGTACAGAAATCTTTGACAACAGGGAAACCATGGAAACCGCAGACAAATCATGGAAACCATGGAAA